TTCTTCAAAAGAAAATTTTTATCAAGATTAAATAACAGGAAAATTAGAAGCTGTTGGAGATACAGTAGAACGATTTCATTTTATTTTACATCCAAAAGATGAACAAAATTTAACTCGTGAAGATCAAGATAAAGTAAAAGAATTATATTCACTTTTAGTTCAATTTGAAATTATTCAAGGAGATACAATAAGAAAAATATTTCGAAATAATTCACAAGAACGAGATAAAATAGAAAAGATAATTCGAAATGATCTTGATCCTTCGGTTGCCGACTCATTAATTAGTTTATTAAATAGTAAATCTTCTTTTGTAAAAAAGATTTCGACGATATTGTTTGTTATAGTGAAGAATTATGGCAAATTTTAAATATAAATAGAATAGAAAAAGAATTACCACGGATATATGAAAATGTTTGGAAAGATTTAGAAGATAAAAATAGATCCACAACAAGTTAATATTTCTCTATTTGAACAATCCATAGAAAGAAAAATATACGAAAATTAAATTTAATGGTAATGGTCATGAAACAAAAGATCTTAAAACATTTTAAATAGAATTAAAAGATAATATTAATCAACAAAATCAATAGTTTTATCAAACAGATTTACCATTTACTATTAAAGAAGAAGAAGGAAATAATATTCGAATTTATCTAAAAGAAAAAAATATTTTAAAGTCTGGTGGACTTGCTAAATATAAATATGTAGATATTAAAAGAAATATTGAAAGAATTTTAAAAAATATTCAATTTGAAAATGATAAAGAATTAATTTTGTCGAAAATTTTGTCTTTACAAGGAGATATTCGTTCATTTAAAACAGGTTTAAAAGCTAATTTAAAAGATTTTATAGATCTTCAAGATCAAGAAAATGTTCCAAGTGAATTAAGATTTTTTGAAGGTTTTAATCTTAATAAATTTTTGATTATTGAAGAAGATAAATCTTGGTGGGATTGGAATGCTTTTGCCGTTGCAATGATAGGACTTGTTCAAGTCATTGCCGAAGCTGTTTTAGTAGCCTTCGATTTGACTCAGATAGGCAATGCTTTAATATCAGGTATTTTTAGTTGGAAAGAATGGGCAATACAAAAAGCAATTAGCTTCGGTCTCTCTATGTTGACTGTTGGAATTGGAAAGTTTTTGACGGATAAAATTATGGAACAGATTCAAGAAAATGTTTATACAAAAGATTGTTAATGAAATAGAAGAAAGTTTATTAAAAGAAATAATCGGTTTAATAAATAATAAAGTAGAAACTGTTTATCTTCAAAGTAAAAATGAAGAAGAGTTCGAAAAATCTTTTGAAGAATTGAAAAAACATATTAGAAAAAACATTAGGAAAATATATTTTATTACCTCAACAATTTGATAATATTCGAACACGAGTTGTATCTTCTTTAAGAAATAGTTATCATCTATTTGCTGATGGTCTAAAGAAATCAAATTCAAAATACGTTAAAATAGCTGCTACTACTCTTAAAGCAATAGATATCATTAATAAGTTGTGGACTGTAGTTCAATCTGTCTTACAGTTCGAATATGTCTTTAATACTTTAAAAGATATTATTGAAGGTACTACCAAAGAAAATCAGAATATTTATAGAAAAAACATTAATAAGAACCTTGTCGAAACAAGAGCAGAACAGTTGAATAGAATCATTAGAGAATATATATATCAACTAAATTAACAAAATAATTAGATAAAGTAGTCACAATGTAATGGAAAAATCCAGCTAATATATTGAAACAATCGAATCAAAATAGACAAAATCATGCAGAAAGTCAAATTGCTGTTGAACAATCTCCAATAAATCAAGATTCAAAGAAAGAACAACAAGATCGAGCGAAAAGAGAAGATCTACAACATAATATTAGAAATCCAAAACAAATTACTGCAAGTTATTTGAGATAAGCAAACGATAAAGATAGAGCTTTAGGTCTAACTGATATCAAAATGTTAGCAGATCGTAAAAGAAGAAAAATAACTGTTTACAATTCAGATACTGACGAAAAAGAAATAATAAATCCTTCAGAAGTAAGAAAAATACTTGCTCTTTTTAAACAATCTGCCAAAATCTATTATGAAGCAGGTGAAAATGAAGATATTAGACATTATTTTACTGGTAGAGGAACAGAAACATATATACAGATCAATGAACGGAAAGATTGTTTGCTAATAGCTTATCATGAATCATTAGATAGAAAAGTAAACCAAAGAAAAACCTTTACATCTTCAATCCTATAACTGTAATACAGGATGGATCACAGAATGGATCGGTACCATTGGTAAATATTAAAGAAAAAAAACAACTTTCAGATGTTATAAGCAATAAAGATCTAGAAAAAGAAATAGAATATAAATTAATACCTGAAGCTATGAAAAAATTAAGGAATGAAAATGATAAACTAGTGGTAATTACGTCTCAGCCATCTAAGGCGGGTACAATAAAGCAAACAGATAATGTACGCTTAGGTGATCAGAATTTTACTGAAAATAGTGACTATGTTAATTTTCAAGTGCAAATAGATGGACAGAGATATAAACATCAACATAGGGGTAATGAATCTACAACTGTCGCACATATTTTAGTGACAAGACCACTAAAAGATTCTGATGCCGTTTATCATTGTAGCTCAAGAAAAATTGCTCAGGTCCTTCTTGATAGTTTAAATAATGGCAAAACAGTAAAATTACTTGCAGAAAATCTTTAATAGGCATTTCAAATTAATCACCTTTAAGTTTTGGTTAAAATTTATATGTGAACAGTATCAAAATCTTTTCCATCTATACAATGCTCCCATTATTGTTTAAATACGTAAATCTCATTATTAGTAGCATATTCCCTTTCTCCTTGTGTATTTTCAGCAATCAATGTGTTGCCTTATTCAGATTTTATTGATCGAATGAAATGTACTAGAATATATACATATTCACCTTTCTGTTTTTATACAATTTGACAGTAGATCAGTACAACAGTAATAACTTGCAGGAATGACTTTTCTCTTGTTATTTTCTTTAAATGATGACATGATCTCGGAAATACTAGCCAGGAAAGTCCATACACCCTCAATCATCAAAGACTGTGGGTGCTCAGTTTGACCGAAAGCTTCAGTTCTTTTTCTATCATCTTGCTTCCATAATACATCAGAAAAAAATGTTTTTTTTTACCATTTACAGTGTTTTATAATGCTAATGAACGCTATCTCATGTGACATGAAAATCTTCAAAAAAATCTGTTTGTAAGTAGAAAAATATTTTTTCAAGACTTTGATTTTTTTCATTTTACACAAGATAGAGACTCCTTAGACTTGCCTGTTCATTAGAATTAGGTGAACACTATAAATGGTAAAAAAAAATCATATTATGGAAGCAAGACGATAGAAAAAGAATTGGGGCTTCCGGTCAGACTCAGCACCTCCGTATAATTCCAACTTTGCCTATAGATTTTTATGTATTCTGTTACAATCAAAATAATTGATGAAGACTTTACATAAAAATATTTTATTACACTTCTAAGTATTATATCATTTATAAAAAGTTTTGTTTGTCACAATTTTCTGCAAAAACATTCATATTTTTGTGTGTACAAAGTTTCATCAAACTACTAAAGAAATGTAAGTTTAAAACTAAAAAATTTTACTAATATCCATTCTCTGTTTAAAAACGCCTAATAATTGAGCTATCTCAATTACTTTCACTTATGTATTGCGTTTTTTTGTACAACAAGTTGTCTGTTATATTTTATTATTCATCTTTCATTATTGTACTGTTTCCTATTCTATAATAATTTTCAGTATATTGTGCCAACATATTTATATTATATATTAATATGTTGAAATTGAGTGTTCCTTCTCTTTTCTGTATTACCCACACTTTTGATCTTGTGGATGATTTCTAGCAAATGACGGCTAGTCTCTCTCCCATACTGCTGTCTAGTTAATTTGGTACTAATAAGACAAAAAAAAATATGAGCAAAAGAAGATCGAACTGAAGCATTTTAATTGGTCTTGTTAGCATCGTATACTTCATGCCTCACTATAACATTGATGACGTGAACTGATCTGATAACCATTTTGTCTGACGGTACACTCAAAATTAACCGAAATTAATATCCAAAATAATCAGTAATACCTTGATCAGAATATCTTGATTGTGAACATTTGCAGAACATTTCAAGATGAAAATGTGTCCCTACGTTGTCATTAATAGTCAAAGACTAAACTTTATCTTCGACACAACAACAAAAATTTTCCGGATCGAGTATGTGTAACGAGACCTATCAACATGTTGAAATTTTTGTTAAGAAGGCAAGCTTTGATTCGTTCTATCATGACTGTAGTGGATTTCCTCATGAAAGTAAAACAATTGAAATCAAGTGAATATGCGATAACTTACGAAAATTAGCAAATCTTGATACTATCAAAATCAAATTTTTCATAAAAACCAGTATCAAGCTAATCCATCTGAAATTCTGGGCGTCAAGAACTAGCGTGATCATCTTATTTCATGACATTTCAGTAAAGGAACTTACATCCTGAAATGCATCCAGATCTATTGCACAGATTGGATGTAATTCTATTACAATAAAATGATTATAGTCAATCACACATTGAGCTCAATATCATCACAGAGAATATAATGTTTGCGAAAAAGAAAATCATCTATATCGATAATGTCCACTGCTATCAAATAGAAATCATGCTAAAGGTATTATTTATATATGTTTGTTCTCTTTCTTTTTGTCAAGTATTTTCTCAATTGTTTTCTGTTGGGGTCTTCTTATACCGGTTTTTCTTGCTTTGATATCCTAACGTATATATTTTCCAAATGTATTGTGTTATCTTTTGATATATTCCATTTTTTTGCTTAATATTTGATGTAATATCTGGTGTGGGTGTGGGTGTGAGTATGGATTTGCCTGTCATTATAAACAAAAGAGATATCTACAACGACACCCACACCTAAGTTTCTAAAGATTTTTAAAAATTTCGTAGCTAACAGTAAACTCTTTCAGTTCTGTTTTCTGACTTAGAAGATAAAGCCGACACTTTTTCTCTTCCTACTTAGTAAAATGGGTTATATGAGTCATATAAAATGATGAAATGACTATCGTGGATAGTTTATAACATAAATATTTAAACATTCATTTTTTTCGACAAGTACACGAATATCAAGAAGATTCGAACAAGTTCTTGCTATTTATTTTTGCGCCTTTGATTCAAAGAGGAAAAACTCGTAAGACAAAGCAAGTCGTTCCTTGGAAGACATTCATTTTAATTTACAATATGGCGAAATGCGTCAATTATAGTAGGAAGTTCGATGTGGAGCGTGAGCGCGAATGTATATATGCTCTCTAACGTTTTGATCTAGCTACGAATAATATTTAGAAATGAGAGTTACATTTCAATTGACATCCAAACTCAAAGTCTGGTCCATACGGTCTACTTCAACATGACTGACAGAGACAGCTAATGTCATAGCTGTAAAAAAAACCTCTACTTTTTATATCCCTGAGATGGACTATACTATTTAATGATTTTTTTCGTTGCAGAGCCTGCACAATAACCATCTCATTTTAACATGATACTCACCTTTCAACTCAATATTCTAGATGACTTCGATACCGCTGCTGGCAAACAACATTGATTGGAACATTTTGCCATTTCCAGATGGTTAGTCTGATGACAATCTTTAATTTGAAGTTTTCCTACGCACAGAAGATTTTTTTATGAGTTGAGTACTCTTGATTATAAAACTCTGAGTCCATTTTACTTTTTATTTTAAGTCTGGGAAAATATTCAGATCAGAAAAGATTGTCTAGAAGTCAGATCTCATCCAATCCGTAGATGGAACTCAGCAAGTTGATGATTATCGAATACTTTCTGACTTTATTAAATTTATGAGCAACTATAAATTTTGCTGTTGAGTAGAACAGCTCGAATCACTGCAATTTTCAAGAACGGGAGCGAGGAGGCAATATACATTGCTTGCTTTCAAAAACTGATATTTAAAACCTTCAAAATTGTTTCACTTATTAATTATTACTTGTATTGAAAATTCTAACAACATTTTTTTCATTTCATTGTATGAACTGTTCAAAATTCATACAGATGTATACTAGTTTAACCTGACAGTTCTGCAGTGGAAAAGTATGTGTGAGTTTCTTTTCACATAAGACAAAAATTTAGAAACAATC